CCATTACCTTCACCTTCAATTTGGTGTCCTCAGTGATGAGCCCCTGCAGGAGAGAGACCTTTGGTTGTAGAGGTGTGAATCTGCAAACCTGCAGTAGATACGCAGTTGCTTCAGGAAGCCTACGCAGATAAAATTTGGTGGCCAATGTAATGGAAGATTACCAGGAGCAGGAGGCAACATGTGGGCACCAAATGGGGATGGGGGTAGGCAGACGATAAATCTGAAGGTGGGGAAAAGCAGAACAAGCAGCAAGTTTGCAGAGTGCAATTCTGTGGTGTGGTAACAGCTTTATGTGAGCACTGTGAAGCTTTTGGTTCTGCATTGGGCCATCACGAAACCACTTTGCAGAAAGCTTAATGTATGAGAGGAATTCAAATTGCAGATTTACTTCTGTTTATTAGAAGAGAGACTGTATTGGGATCTCTAGGATATGAAGCAGCACCCCCACATCCACAGACAATCTGTTTTCAGAGGATATCAAAAAATATCCATATTTATTTGTTGCATATTGATTAACTAAGCTTTTATTAGAAGTGACATGCAGGGAGGCAAATTTTGGTCCTTTAAAATAAACATCAGGGATTTTCTCAGACTGTGTTACAGGAAAGGGAAGTGGTTGGCAACGTATGATTTAGATGTTTCCTGTGAGTAGGCTATTATTTTTTTTCCTCTTTTTAATATTTTTTTTCTTACATTTTGTAGTTGCAAGAGTGGGTTATAAAATCAGTAACCATTCCCTTTAAATTTCAGAGCGACATAGTCTTTAGGAAGCAAACCCAAAAGACAAGGTAGAAACCTTAGGATGGGGGACAGTTTTACAGCTGCCACGTTCAAGATTATTGCAAACATCTCTGGCAGTAAAGCAGAGGAATTCAGGCTGAGGTGCACGTCGTATTTTGGAAGTAGCTGTAAGTAGTAGTTGGGGTGGGAGGAGTGTTTCTGATCACATTTACGGTCCAGCTTCTTTCCTTGGGCAGTTCGTTCTGGCTCCTTGGCAGTGGCCCCTGATGCAGACGGTCTCCTACCACCACCCAGTGGTTTGCAGAGCACAGTGCAAGTGCAACGCTCAGAAACCTTATTCAGAAAATAAAAAGAGGGCTGGGGATATTTCAAGCTTTCTTCTCGGGACACGTACTGTTGCATTGTGGATTTGTCTGGTGACTTGTGTAAAAGGTCTTGTGCTTGCTAGATGTTACGAAGTGGTTTAGCACACCTGTTCTGTGGAGCACAGTGATACGCTATGGCTTGCATTTGCAGGACATGAAACCATCTGCATCTGTGATGATTCCTGGTCTGTGTGTGT